CCAACTCCAGCAGCACAATCAAACCCTGACTGTCCAGCACCAGGTCTATTAAGTCCATCATCACTTAATGTCAGGCGTAACGTTATCTCAAGAATGTTCTAAATTGTTTTAAGAACTGTTCCTTTTATTTATTTTTTGCAATGCTGTAAATCTACCCACTTACTGATACATACCGATTCTCTCTCTCTCTTCAGTATCTGTAGTTACTTTATTATTACTGTATTATCAGTATTACACTGCTCTATTGTGTTTTAGATGTTTTCGTGAATATGGAAGTCTTTCTTAAGTGCATAGAAAAGTAAAATATATACATATACTAAGGCAAACATTTGACTTACTCAGGTGATCCAACTTACATACAAGTTCAACTTAAGGATGGTCTCAGGAACTGAACTCATTCATAATCTGGGGAGTACCTGTATTGTTTTCCCCCTCTGCCCTGCCATTCCCTATTTTAGAACTGCTGAGTCATTCCTGATAATTTAAATGCAAGAACAGTTTTGTTTATCACACTGATTAAAAAAGAAGGACATATTCTGAGCATATGTAGTTTTGCACTAAGAACTCTATTAAATAATATCATCATGACTATAGAATAAAAAGGAGTTTGCTTTTGCTGCTCTGATGCTGCACATATTATCTCACAATAAACACAATTTTGATATTAAAAAGGATAATATGTTTTGAAAGTAAAAATACTAAAACTACCCATGCTTCTGCTGACCCAGTCACTTTCTTGGCTATATTTTTTCTTGGCCTTATTTTTTTAAGGAAAAAAGTTTGCTGTGGTAGGCACTAGGGCTGTGCACATACAACCACAATTGGGTAAATTAATTGACCCACAACTAATTAACTAACCTATGAATTGTCAAGCATGAATGGGAGCAAGCAAGTGGATCGCATCCAGCTCTTTTGTGTTCTCAGCTCCTTTGCTGAAAAATTTACATCAGCTCAGAGGTATATGGGGCAAGAAGGGGGAATACAATTTAAATCCTTGCAGGTGATGGAAAGATGCACCACACGTGCCCTCCGTTGTTTTTCTTCCCACATTCAAGGACTTTGGCCTGTTATTGAAAGCATACTCTGGATTCTGGTCGAGTCCTGACACAAAACATTAAAGAAAATCATATAATTCTAGAAAAAGCTTTAATTAAAAATAGTTCAGTAAGCCCTCTTGCAAACTTCTTGAGTAAAGTGTTCTTTGTTAGCAGAGCAATAAGGAACCCAGCCTCCCTTGGGAGGGAGTTCCGCAGGCTGGACGCAGCGACCAAAAGGTCACCTCTGTCGCTGCCTATCTGCACCCATCCTCCCCTCCAGGACTTTCTGTGATTCTGAAGCCAACTGAACAGGACACAACAGAGTCTTAAATGTTTTGGTCTTCATTATTCCCTAGCCTCTGCATGCTTCCTTCTGTTATTTTTCAGTTTTTTTGCCTAGGGACACCTTTGTTGTTCTTTCTTGTGGTCTCTGCACATCACATGTATGAGCTCAGTGTGGAGCCTGTTTGGGGAGATTCCATAGCTAATATTTGCCCAGTGGGAACCCCTCCCCTGCCCCACCCAGGCACCAGGGAGGGATTCCTGCTTGATCCTCAGTTCTTCAGCTGCCATCATGGGTGTCTTGGGAAGTCCATCCTCTGCTCTCTGTAGCTATCTACTTCCCTTATCCAATTCGTACTCTCCTGCTAGCCTCTGCTAAAGAAACTCTCCTTCCTTCTTCCCTTCGGCCTTCATCCAATTTTGTCCTCCCTGAAAAAAGAAAAAATCAAAAATATATCTGCCCCACTTTCTGTCTCTTTGCCCTCATCTTCTCATTATCCTTCTTTCTCTTCCTATCCCACAGTGGTGATCTAAGCTTTGTTCAGAATTTGCTTTAGCTGTGGCAGCAAGCTGCCCCCAACTGATGGCTGCGCCTTGTGCCTCTTCTGCCTGGTGGAAAGCCACATGGTGGAGACCTGTTTCCATTGCTGGGCCTTCACCAAACAGGCAAGGAAACACTGGGTTGACCTGAAGACCAAACTGTGGAACAGGACCCTCCTCAGAGTCGGCTTCCCCCAGCCAGCTGAACACATCTCTGTCTCAAAGGTTCCAATATCTCCTTCTGTACTACCAGGCACAGGGCTCACCTTGGGCACTCCATTAACTCCAGGATGTACCACAAGGACTGCTATGGTAAAGAAACTTGTGAAAAGAGCAAGGGCTGCCGAGATGGCGGATGAGTTGAAAACCAAGGACCGCAGTAAGGAGGCCAAGGATAATTGCTGGGGGATGACACCTTGTGTACTCTTGCCATCAAGATGCAGCCCAACACCGGATGCCATCCTTCACCAGTACAAAGAAGAGCCAATGCCACCTTGGTATCAACACACCAGGGCGTACCAGCTACTTCCCTCTTAGAGGGCAAGATACAGCAGGCCTCATCCTCAGTACTGGAATGTGCACCTTCAGTAGTTCCAGCATTGAAATGCACCTCACCACTGTTTCCAATCCTACAGAAAGCTGTGCACATCATGCCCGACTGCCACAGATACTCCCTTCGTTCCCTCCGGTTGATCCTCTTCATTGGATCTCACATAGATTCCATCACAGTGAGGGCATACATGTTGGATACCAGAGCAGCCATGCTAATGTGTTAGGATCCCCAGACACATCCACTGACACTGCTGATGGTGGGCTGAGCATGACAGCCTTGCCAAGGGGACCATCTTCACCATGTTGAACCTGACCCTGGTGACCACTGCAGACACCTCCCTCTCTGGCTGGGGAGCCCATTGTCCAGTTTCAGGCAAGAGGGACACTCATGTCACCACCAAACACATCATGCTCCTGGAGATTCTCGCAGTACAAACGGTCCTCATAGCATTAGAGAACGATGTCTTGGCCTGCCACATCCGGATTGCCTCTGACAGTAAAACAGCTGTCTGTTACATCAACAAGTCAAGTTCCAGGCCTATCCCCCTAGTACAGCTAGCAGTCAAGATCTAGACCTGGTGCACTGACAGGGGTACCACACTTGCAGTGATCCATGTCACAGGCACAAGCAGCCTCCTGGCTGATGCCCTCAACTGAGCATCCACAGAGTGGCACAAGCAGAAACTTGACCACCACATCCAGGAAGAACTCGGGGTGAGATGGGACCACCCATGGAAAGAGTGCATGCTGATGCTTCTGCTCCAGGGGGCACAGATCTGAGCTTCATGGGGCAGCCTTCCTCCAGTCTTGGGCAAGGCCACTAAACTGTCTCTTCCTCCTGTTTTCACTGGTCACAAAGGTCCTGGCAAAAAATCATTGCAACTGAATCCACTGCATCCTTATCACACCATGGTTCCCCCACCTCCTACAGCTCTCCAGCCAAACTTTCCTTTACCTTCCAACTCAAGCCCAATGTCATCTCTTAGGACTGAGGAACCATCTTCCATCTGGAGATCCACACACTCTGATTCATGGTCAGGAGAACCCAGTCCTGGCTTCCAACACGGACAACCTGCATGAAGACCTCTAACCCATTGTGGAAGCAGCCCTAAAACTGGCCACAAGGCACTCTGCCACATGAAGTGCAAAGCCTTCACTGACTTTACTACTTAACACAGATTTGAACCTGTCCAATAAAGGAAGTTTTCCTGTTCTTGAACTTGTTTCCAATGCGGCCTCAAGATAGACTTTATGCAAACCCGTGCAGCCTTGATTTCATCTTTCCATGCACCAATCCAAGGACTTCTCACCTTCTCTGACCCTCTCATCCCCCAGTTCCTTAAGGGTCTCAAGAACCATACCTGTCTGTCATCATCCAAGCCTTCCCTAAAAAGGCCTTTGAACCTATGGGCACCACAGACTTACACCTAATCCAATGGAAGACCCCCTTCCCGGTGGTGATCACCTTGGCTTAATAATCCAGCAATCTAAGCATCCTATGAGCTGACCTGCCTTACCTCATCTTCCAGAGAGTCAAAGCAGAACTCCACTCTGATCCTGCCTTTCTCCTCAAGATAGTTTCCACCCTTCATCTTAACGAGGACATCCTCCTCCCAGGCTTCTTCACATCACAGTTGGATCCAATCAAGAAAGATGGCACGACCCTCCCTTGATGTCTGAAGGCCCCTATCCTTTTACAGATCAAGGACTGAGCCCTTCTGCCACTCAGAGGGTGTTCATGTGCTGTGGTGGTAGGAACAAGGGACTCCCTGTCTCCTCACAATGGCTGGCAAGATGGGTCATGAAGACCATCTCCTTAGCCTATGGGTCAGCTGGCCTCCAGCCCTTGGGACCAATGCAGGTTTGTTCTATGTGAACCGTGGCAACCTCCGTGGCACTCCACACTGGAGTATCCCTGCCTGGCCTTTGCCAGGCTGCAACCTGGTTGAACCCATCCGTCTTTGTGAAGCAGCACCCTCTTGACTTCTGCACCAGAGTGGGCTATACACTCAGCAGAGTAGTTCTTTCGTCAGTCTTTGGGTAGCGACAATGCCCGCCTCCGTGAGGTAAGCCCACCAGTCATCCATATGTGTGATGCACAGAGACCATGAAGAATAAAGTAAGGTTGATTACCTGTAACTGTCATTCTTCAAGTGGCCATCTGTGCATTCACACAACTTGCCCTTCAGCCCCTCTTCAGTGTTGTCCTCTGACAGCACAACTGTGCACACTGGGGTGCATATGAGCCCAAGGCCCATCCTTCTGACATGGGCCATGATGGCAGTCTCCTGTCCTTCGAACTGAGGACCGAGCAGAAACCCCTCCCTCGAGCCTGGGCAGGGCCAGGGGGAGGGGGTCCCACTGAGTAACCTTAGCAATGGAATCTTCCCAAATGTGCAGAGCCCACATGCATGAATGTACAGATGAGCAGAACAACAGCACTGCAGGTAAGTAACCTTACTTTTCACGGTGAACAGCTGCTGTTCTGAACTCTGGTTTGAAAAGTGTGGCTCCTGCCATCGTCTTTCTAGAATGATGGGGATTTTTTTATTCACTGAGGATCTGTTGTTTGTGTTTTTTCTTTTCCAGAGAGGACCTGCTGAGCTCCTCAGGATCCAAAATGCACAGGACCACCAGGATAAAAATCACAGAGCTGAACCCCCACTTGATGTGTGCCTTGTGCGGGGGCTACTTCATAGATGCCACAACCATTGTGGAATGCTTACACTCTTGTAAGTTTCAGACGAAGTCTGCAAGTTCCTGGAGCTTAATTTGAGCCATGGGCTCTCTCTTCTGTGCCGAGTCAGCCAAAGAATACGCAGAATAACCACACTGCCTATTTAGTGTATGAAAGGTGCATTTCCCCTGCTGTTGATTATGTTTCCCCTCACGTTCTCTCAAGACAGCGTGCTGTAAGAGCCAGGTTTAGGGATATTTGATCCCTAACAACTCTCTTCTTAATAGTTCAAAATGACTTGACCCTTAATTGCCAGTACATGGGGAGGAAAAAAATTGCCTTCTCAGACCTGCTTCACATTCTCCTTGACATTTGCTTCTTTACTGCTACTTAATGACCAGGTTCAGATATAATATTAAACCATTGTGAAAACCACGATGGCATGATATGTCATGTGTGAACCCAGCCAGAATGGTGCAGCATGGTGAGAATGGTCTCCACACAGGCAGTGGTGGTTTGTGCATGATACACTATGTAAACACAATCTGCTCTATGGATGTCACACTTCTGCATCGTTTGTTTGATCTGTGGTTCCATGCTGCTGCCATAGAGGCCTGTGGGAAGAGTAGCCCCTGCTGGGGGAAGCGCTCCTGCCTGCATTCTCCATTGTCCAGTTCTGCCTAGCAACTAATGCACCAGGTCCAGCCACACTCTGATTGCTTGCTTTGTGCTCACTTTCACCTTTGCCTTCTCACTGCCTTCCAGGTGCCCATCTATAGCTTTGAATGTCACTGGCAGCAGAGAAGCACATCAAGCTGCCTCCAGCAATAACTGTGGAGACAGTCGTGTTTAGCACTCCTGTGTGGCTGCTGCAGTTTAAACAAATACCACTCATGAGCTGCTCTGCTTTTGAAATTTCTCTCCCCTCTCAGCGAAGTTGTCCCTATATGACAGTGGCACATGGGCTCCATGCAGGCATCACCAACAGAGTGAGTGCTCCCAAAAGCCCATGTCCCCCACTCTGCCACCTGCCCCCTCCTCCTCCCAAAACCTGTCCCTGGTATTCCTCAGGACCGCCAAGAAGCCACACTGCTGCCCACCCCCTGCCCTCTGAACCTGCCAACAGCCATCACTGCATGAGGTGTGGGAGAGACACACTGTGATTTGCCAGTGGATCTGGGAGAACTGCGAGATGTTTCACTGTTAGAGGTGCCATCCGGGCATGGAAGCCAAGCCTCCTTCCTAGCCCAGCCACATGCCCCTCTGAGTTCCCTGCTTGCCCCACAGAGAAGTGTGGGGGGAGTGGATGGGCCATGACGCAGATGCTGCCCCTGTCTGTAGCCCTGTGGGCAGCTCCTGGAGCCCCCAGCACATTGCCGCAAGCTGGCTGTGCATGGGTGCCTGTGCATTTAGGATGCAGGCAGCACCGGTGCAGCGAGCGGCGGCGGCAGGGCACCTGCACCAGGCACATTCTCCTCTCTGGGGCTGCCTTTCGTGGCCCCAAGTCCCAGCAAGAAGGGCACTTTTGGCAACAGCAGTGTGGTCCTTGTGGGGAGGGCTGGCTGTGGGACCAGCGGAGAAGGGGGAAGGCAGTCCCAGCGAGGCCATGCACAGCGTGTCCTGGCTGCAGAGAGAGGATGCCAGGGCAAGCTGCCTCTGCGCCGTGGCTGTGGCATGGGGGGGCGGGGGGCTGCCCCTGGAGCTTGTCCAGGCTGATGCCCTCCATGTGCCTTGCTGCAGCGGGGAGGCAGCCCATAGTAGTGACTATGAGGCCTGCTCACAGATGAGCATGGGCACATGCACAGCAAGGGAGGGGCAGGGAAGAGGAAGCGTTGTAGAAAGAGGCAGGCTTATAGATTGACATGGAGTATGGCAGCCCAGGAGGGTCTACTGGGGTGCTGCTCCCAGCAGCAGCCCCTCCCCCCAAAAACCCACTAGGGGCAGCTAGCTGGGGGATTGTCCAGGTGGGTTTGTGGGCCAGTGAAGGGGAGACAGGCAGTATAGGCAGGAGTGGTGCACCCTGGGATAGAATTTTTGCTGTGGGGACTGATGGGATACCTGCTGCCAGTAGAAGGAAGGATGGAGGATGGAAACCATGCAAGCATGGAAACTATATGATTGTCTGAACCCAGCAACCAGATAGGAAACCATGCTGTGTGGCAATCGCATGGTAAGTGGCAACTGGCTTAGCATTATGTGTGCAGGCAGCCGAAGTGTTGGACACACAGCCCAGGCAGTGGCGAACCTGAGCACCATGACGTGGCATGGAGAGAGGTGTGTGGGCTGCCCCAGTTGGTGTAAGTGCATGTGCCCAAAGGTAGAAGTGGAAGGCACCATTCTAGAAAAAGCAGCAGTCCCTCTTAACGTGTGGCATCAGCTACCACATACTTGCCCATGATAACACAATTTTCTAATTCAGATCTTTAGCAAATGTTTCATACTGAAGCTTGCACTTTTAGAAAGGGTAGGATGATCATATATGAAGTACATTAACAACTATGGAAGTGGAGCTAAGGCTGGCCCGTGTCGTGTTGGCCTCTGCAGTAGAAAGCACAAATTCTGCCCTTCTACACAGTAGTGTTTTACATCGTTATAAATCAGTCAAGTAATTGGCCCATTGTTTCTTTTCATTCCAGTTGGCCCAAATCTTTTTGCTAAGCTCCACTGTTCTGTCTTGTCTTATATGCAGAACACAAGAGTTTACCAGGATAGAATGCAGGGAATTTGCTCCCCTTGTGATAAGTTCCTAAATCACTGTTATGCATGTTCTTAAGAGGCAGAGGCAGTGCCTCTCTCCTCCCCCTCCGCCAGCACTGACAGCGCTGAGGCAGGGAGCCCGGGAATTTTGGCCTGTCCCAAGGTATGTACATAGCTTGCTTGGGTCAGTCTTGGTGACATCGCTTTGCCTCATGATAGGACGAGAAGCAATGCTGAACTTTAGCTGGATTTCTTAGATCTGAATATGTGTCCTTATGGTAGCTCCGTCCATGTCTCACCTGTGTTTCTTTCCCTTTTAGTCTGTAAAACCTGCATCGTTCGTTATCTGGAGACCAACAAATACTGCCCAATGTGTGACGTTCAAGTACATAAAACGAGGCCTCTCCTCAGCATCAGGTACTTTACAAAGACTGATACTTCAGCCCAGTGGCACCTCCATCAGCCAAGGGTTCAGGGCAGGGATGGGGTGGGATGCGAGCTGTGCAGGAACAATTTAAAAGTGTACAAGGTGGCGTGTGTTGTGGGAGCAGAGTGGTAACACAAGGTTCAGTAAGAAGCCATCTCCAGCCACATGCACATTACCTTGCTGGATTGTACCAAGATCTGTTTGATTCTGCATCCTTTTTCTAGGTAACTGTTCTAAAAAGGGCATGAAGGTGAAATCCTTACTCTGCAGTTTGTCTGGAACACCCATTACTCGCTTGGCCATGCTTCTTCTAGCCAGAAAAACCTGGTGCTCAAAGCCTCTCTTCAAGTGTCCCCAAAGGCGGGGAAACTGCCTGGGAGTCTTACCATACAACCTGGAATCCCTTTCCCTAATCCCAAGCAAGTGGGAGCGTCTTCCCTCAGAGGAGGTTCAGAGGCATTCTGCATAGGTTACCAGGATAGTGCCTACCTAAGACAAACTGCTGCCTGACCTGCAGTCCATCTGGCACCCCCTCCCCGTGCCAGCATCACTACTTCCAAAAGCCTCGTTCCATTATTCAGGCACCTTTAACTCTCACAGTGTCACTTGCAACAAGTTGCTTTACCTTGAGGTGTGGCAGGGCTTGGCAAAGCTTCCTTCAAGGGTCCCGGGCCCCAGTGAGCATAGTATCAAGGCAATGGGGATTCCCTTTCTAATAGTTTTTAACTAGCAGATGCAGTCAGGGGATTGTCATGATTTGGGGTGCCCCTTCTTCCCTTGCTGCAGCAGCATAAGCCCCATATCAGTTCAGATGGCAAGACTTCAGATCTTCAGTTTTGTTGGCATGCAACATCCATGCAAATCCTGCAGGTGGAAGTGGGGATGTGACAGGGCATGTGGCTGTTTCTGTGCCAGTTGGCTGCTTCCCTATGCTGAAGTTGGGCTTGGTGTTAGTGCCAGCCGTTCCCCATCAAGCGATCTCTGAGCTACAAAGCAACCCTGAGAGCCACTGTGGTGTCGTGGTTAAGAGCGCAGGACTGGGACTCAGGGAATCTGGGTTCTAGGCCCCACTCAGCCAGGAGCCAACTGGGTGACTTGGGGCCAGTCACAGACTGTCAGCCCAACATACCTCATAGGCTTGTTGTTGTTGGGATAAGATTGAGAGCATGTGGAGAATTATATAAGCCACTCTGAGTTTCTTGTAAGAAAAAAGGCACGATTCAACTCTAAAAAGTAAATAAATATATGACCTTCCTGATGAAAGGGAAGTAGAAGCTGAAGGAGCATGATGGCGGCTCAAAATTGATAGGCAAATGGGTCAAGGATTATCTAATTAGCCTGAATGAATTCAAATCTCCAGGGACCAATCAATTGCATCCTAGAGTCATAAAGGAGCTGAAAGAAGAACTCTCAGAACCAGTGTCTATTATCTTGGAGAAATCATGCATGACAGGGGAAATGCCAGATGACTAGAGAAGGGCTAATATTCTTCAAGAAAAGAAAAAAAAGAAGAACCGGGGAACTACAGACCAGTCAGTCTCACATCAGTCGCTGGGGAAATTCTGGAACAGATGATAAAGCAGTCAATCTGCACTGAAAACAATGCAGTGATTAATAGAAGCCAACATGGATTTGTCAAGAATAAATCCTGACAGACCAATCTGATTTCATCTTTTGATTGGGCAACCTCCTTGATGGCCTGTAGGAATGCTGTGGACATAATATATCTTGGCTTCAGCAAAGCTTCTGACAAAGTGTCCCACGATATCTTGATTAGCAAACTAGCTCAAAGTGGGCTAGATGGAACAACTATCAAATGTGTCCACAGGTGGCTACAGAATCAGAATCAAAGAGTGCTCATCAATGGCACCTTCTCAAACTGGGGAAAAGTAACAGGTGAGGTGCTTCAGGGTTCAGTCCTGGCCCCAGTGCTCTCCAACATGAGGAAGTGCAGGTAAGGCTTATCATATTTACAGATGACACAAAACTGGGTGTGATAGCTAACACTCTGGAAGACAGAAATAAGATTCAAGGTGTTCTTGATAAGTTGGAGTGCTGGGCTGCAAATAACAGTATGAAATTCAGTCGGAACAAATGCCAAGTCCTCCACCTAGGAAAAAGAAACCAAATGTATTGTTACAAGATGGGGGATGCTTGGCTCAATAGTACTGCAAGTGACAAAGATCTTGGAATTGTTGTAGATCACAAGCTGAGTATGATTCAACGGTATGCATGACTGCAAAAAGGGCAAATACTATTTTAGGCTGCATTAATAGAAGTATTACTTCCAAATCACATGTGTCCAGGCCTGAGCACCACAGTTTAAGAATGACGCAGACAAGCTGGAAAGGGTTCAGAGGGCAACAAGGATGAACTGAAGACTGGAAACAAAGCCCTGTGAGGAGAGATTGAAAGAACTGGGCATGTTTCACCTGGAAAAGAGAAAACTGAGGAGAGATATGATAGCACCTTTCAAGTACTTCAAAGGTGGACACACAGAGGAAGGCCATGATGTCTTCTATATCATCCCAGAATGCAGGGCATGGAATGAGAGACTTAGGTTCCAGGAAGCCAGGTTCTGGCTAACCATCAGGAAAAACTTCCTTACTGTTAGAGCCTTGCAATCCCCCGTTACTAGGGGGGTCATGGGGTCTCCCACACTGGAAGCATTCAGGGGGCAACTAGATCGCCATCTGAGAGGGATGGAGTAACACTGAGCAATTAAAATCAAGTTACTGCTAAAATTGACCATTAAAATAGCTGGAGGATATATGTCTGCCTGGTGCCGAAATTATAAGAGAGATGGCTCCAGGCACACCTCTCTGGGGAACTTATTCCAGAGTTGGGGTGCAACCACCAAGAAGACCTTTCTTCTAGCCATCATCCCCCTCACTTCCCTTTGGGATGGCTCCTGAAGAAGGACCTGTTCACTTGATCATAACAGACAGGTAGGGACATATGGGAGAAGTGGTCTTTCGGATGCCAGGACCCAGGCTGTTTACAACTTTATATGTAAGTACAAGCACTTTATATTGGGCCCATACTTCCACTGGTAACTGGATATATGGTGTATTCGTTCATTTATCATGGAACTTTTGCATTCTGCTAGGAATCTGTATTCTTATCCTTTAGAAATCAAAATGCCACCCTGAGTTAAACCACACTTTGTTCCAAGAATATCCCATTTCTGTAGTATGAGCATATTATGAAAAACTCAGAATATTTGCATATATTTGGCAAAAGACTGGTAAATTAAAAAATTACCACAAGAAGCTTAACCAACCTGCAGCTTATGATATTTTATCAGGAAGTCCTTGAATACCTTCGGATTTATCTTTCAAGTAATCAAAACTTTGGGTAGTTAAATAAAAGCTGAGTTTCCTAGCTTGCCAAATGCAGGCAGTAATGCAGTTCTCGATTCTAGTTGCTTTCAATGGTGTGAACAACTCCTTTGTCCTGGTGAATCAGCTTTTTCTTTTTGATGGACCATCTCTTTCCAGGTGTAGAAAAATTAAACCAACTCAGCAATACTTCTTCTACCTCTTTTCCCATTTTGTCTTTGACATGGTAATCTTGTTGTTTCCCTATGCTGAATTGGAAGCCAAATGCACCTTAATGAACACTGAAATTAAGATAGCAATCTCTAAGTTTATCTTTCAGCTCCTGCTCGGTGAAAATTAATTTCTTTAGCAGCATATTAATCTCTCTGCAAAATATTTATCAGATTCCATCCCACTGTTTTCTCCACAGAGCTGCTCCCAGTTCAAACATCAGACACAAAATGCCTTCTAAACAATCCTGAGATGCCAATACAAAAGGACTGTTGCAGAACAATGCATGTTGAAAGTGTAGCAAAACATCTCTGGGATTCAGTGATTAAGGGGAAAATAATAATTCTTTATTTGATTTCACATGAACCTCTCTCTCTCTGTTGGTTTGCATGTCAGATGAGCGGTTTTGAATGTACAGCTTTTACAGCATTGGAAGTCATGCAGGGAAGGGGATGTGAACTCTTCAGCTTTTCTGTGGGTGTTGTACAGTATGTGTGTGTCACCTCTGAATAGAAAAATGTTGTGTCTGAATCAAATGCTTGGTTTTCTTCCTATTATTTTCTTATCCAACTGCATAGATAGGAGCATTTAAAACTGTATTTAAGACTGTGTTTGCAAACATGCCTTTCTTCCCTATATATTCCTTTGATCATCACATTTTAATAATTAGAAAATCGGGCCACCATTGTGGGATGGGGGAAGTGTGCACCTTGTTTTCCCCTGTGCCTGCCATCATGTCGCTGAACATCTGTTCCGTAGCTGTGATTTCCTTTGCAGCCTCATTCAGTGCCCTCTATCTCCAAGCATGTCGTTTGTTACTCAGTTTTACTTAATAGGCCATGTGTGTGCCCAAGTGCTGTACCCAGCAACATTTCATCAATTTTTTCAAAGGAATTGACAAGAATATATGTGTGCCTTGTATCCAGCCAATTTCTTCATTGGTAGTGAATGTTGAAAGGTGGGTTGCACCATGAACTGGAGTGTCTAGACCCTGGGCCTGAAAGCCAGCATCTGGGATAGGCGAGAAGACGGCCGCTTCTGTTTTAGCTGTGCTGACATTTAAGCTGCAAAAGGCATAATGTGTGAATGGCAGTTTGCCCATTATCTGCACTTGCTGCAAGGCAATTTCCTCTCACTGTGGCTTGTTGTTTTAGTTAAAAAATAAATTTGCTTTGGAGGTTGAGAAAAGCACAACATGTGTTTTCAAAGTCCAGTGCGTGTATTCCTGGCAGGTTCCTGCCTTTTGCCTCAGTTCTCTTTCAGCAGCCTTGTTGGCTTGTTCAGGTAAGCAATAATGCTACTGTGGTTGCTCAGCAGACCCTGTCCGGGTGGACTGATGCTGAGCCGGGTGGCTGGCACAGATAATGTCCTTGCTAACCAGCTCAGGTGGGCAATCCTGGCCTCCCATGAGTGGACGCTAGATAGAATGGTACTAACGG